ACAGAAAGGATTACAAGAAGTGAGATCCTGTGTTATGGAGGGAGCAGGTATTTGGCCATCATACTGCTCATACATATTTCTACAAATGTTTTCGAGCTGTGGCTAAACATTATTTTGAAAAAGGAGTTAATTATATATGTGTTTTAAACTCAGCCAACTGCTTTTAGCTGAATTTATATACACAAGTGCTTCTCTGACCCAAAAGAGAGCATACGTACTTATGAGGCTTTCTTGCATCTCTTCTTGCATCTAAGTCATCCTAATAAAAGATGCTGGTTTTCCCTACGCTGACTCCCATGGCAACAACACCCATACCTAACTAGACTGACACACAGCGGGTGGCATCTCCTCAGGTAGAAGTTACTCTCTGCTCCGTACCTCCTGGTTTGTGTTGCATAGTTGGGAAGAGAGGACCAGGCGTGTAAAGGGCTTGAAACTCAGCGGCACACCATGCCCGTGGGCACATAGGCAGTGGCCTTTGCTTACGTGTTCCCTGAAGACCTGAAACCCACTGCTGCCTTTTGCCAGGAACAGAGCCCTTCATTCATGTGAAAAGCCCCCAGCCAAAAAACCAGCCTCATACCCACAGAAGTACTTTGTGCATCCAGAAGGAAATAAACTCCACATATAGCCCAGGCACAGGCAAATCCCACAGAGGTTTTGGGTCAGCTTCTGTTAATTGTGCGTGGGGAAAATTTGATCTTTGCTCCTTTCTGTTTGTTTGTTTTTCTGGATTTTTATCCCCCCTTGCTGAGCGAACCCTCACAGTGCGGTACGGTGTTATGCATAGATACTCATGCTAGCTGGAAAGCCAGCACAGGTCCTAAAAGAGATACAGCTGTTAGAAAGGTCATGCTCAAGCTTGAGGCTGGGGTAATTAGCAGGGATGTCACCACTCTAAAATGGTTCCTCTATTTTGAGACTGGAGTTGCACACCCACAGTTGTGGCTGTGGGCAGCATCGTAGAGACCCGTCAGGTGCTTGGGAGCTTGTGCTCTGTGCCGTGTTGCATCGTGCAATGGAGATTTAAGTAGTGTAGATGGGTGCTTAAATTTGGGAGGAAGACTTTTGGGCGCTGTGTTTCCTTGATGGCAATTATTCATGGCCTTAAATAAATTCATTGTCAGTCATCTTTCAGTTGTCTAGGGAAGGAAGAGGGGTGTGTGGCACATGTAAGCAGTAAAGAAAATCCTGCATTATAGGTGTAATAATAAAATGTATGCACACATGTTGAAATTTTTTGTGAAATTCAGAGCATCCTTTAAGGACAAGGGGCAGCACAGAGCCCAGAGAGGTGGCATATATGCACCTGTGTGTCGGTGCTGGCAGGTACTGGGGAAGGTGAGGTCTGGCTAATCCACCACCCGCATAAACAGGAGTTGGCTTCATTAAGACAAGTTCAGAGATCCTGATGGCCTGAGCTGAACTGAATTAATGGTAATTATTCTTTTTTCTCCCCTTTTTTTCTCCTCCTCAGGTGGAAGAAAACTACTCTGCCGGCAGTCCTTCAAAAGGCTTTTTCTCAAAAGGGCTCCAGAACCGACCTTCCAGCCCCGTTTCTGCCCCTGTGAGATCCAAACATAGCCCTGGCTCACCCAAAACAGTGTTCCCCTTCCCCTACCAGGAGTCTCCCCCACGCTCCCCACGCCGAATGAGCTTCAGTGGGATCTTCAGGTCCTCCTCCAAAGAGTCCTCCCCCAATTCTAACCCGTCTACCTCTCCTGGGGGCATCAAGTTTTTCTCCAGATCAAGAAAAAGTAAGAAATTGCTCATGTTATTTCAGGAAGATACACGGTACCTCTGGGCTTGGCCCATTCTTTACCTGCGGTAGTGAAGTAAGTGCAGATGAGGCATGTGCTAATTGTTCGTTATCGCTTTCACTGACCATGTGTTTTGGGTTTCTGACATGCTGGCCATTAGGGTGTGATCACCACAGGGCCATGGACACCTGCGCAGGGCTGAGGAGGGAAATCACGCTTCAAAGCTTTGCTTAGAAACCCTGCATCCACGTCAGTGGGGAGTTTTGTGGGTGATTCCACTGAGGCTGGTTGGACGTCAGCACTGGGGCTTGAGAAAAGCTGGAGATGTTCATGGGGTTTGTGGTGGAGGTGGGCACAGAAGGGATGTCATCTGGGGAGCGAAGGGAGACTCACTTCTGTAGACTCCATAGAGAATTTCAGCTGATTTTTTTAATTGATATTTCTTTGCCATATTGTAGGAGGGGAAAGAGAGCTTTACTGAATAGAAGTGAATGATATGTGTTTCAAATGAAATGATCATTAACGGAGTGCTTGAGCTCCTCTGCCAGAATGTGAAAAGTGGTGTAGGACCTCCATGGTTCAGAGCACTTGCTAGCTTTATGTTGAGTACAAATTTTACCTCTTCAGCAGCCCATGGGCTAACACACCATTAGGAGTCAGAAATGAGCAGGATCAAGAACAGGCTTTGAATTTAGCACTTTATTGCTGAATAAACGTTCTCAGTGCTGGTCTACAATCCAAATCTGGTCTACCCAAGGGGCTGGTGGCTATAGGAAGGGGAAGAGTTACGGGGGAAGGAGGGGAATAATATCTTGCCGCGGGGGGTGCTGGATTGTCGGACCACAGTGAGTTTTCCTTCTGTGAACAGAAGAAATAAGTCAATGATAAATTGTCAAATCTTCTGTGACAACATAGGTACAGAATTAGTGATGTGTATACCCATGTTCGGCTGTGTTTCCTGCAACATACTGATAGCTTTCAGTGACCTTTAAATAGTATAAAGGGACCTTCCTGTTTTTCTTCATCAAAATTTCCCTTAAAACATTGGTTTTAACCAGAACAAGTAATTTCATAGTGACTTTTGTGCACAAGAACACACCTATACAAACACATATAGGATTTTCCTTTATGTTTATGAGAAGTTATGCTGCAGCTTAATTGAAATGGCATCTTTTCCAATCCTTGCCTCTCCCTAAAACACCTTCAGGAGATTGAAAGCAGAGTCAGTGTTTCTGAAGGACTCCAACTAGACTCCAAGCATCATTTCTATTCAAGGATGTTTGTTCTTCTCTGCTTGATGTTCAAGCATGCTTGTTATACTCCCCTCTTTTTCAAGCCTCACAATAATTAAAGTCCATTTAAGGTCTTTTTGCTAGTCCATATAGGTTTAAATATTGCATAGGCAATATGCCACTGATCGAGTATGCAGAGAAGGGCTCACTGCTGCATGAATAACAGCAATATCCACTGCATGGCAAAGCCCTCGTGTGACTTTTTAATCAAGTTATCCAAGCAAACAGCACTGTTTAAGTCCTAGCTAGGTACAACAGAATATTAAATAAAAGAGTCTTTCAGCAGTCAGCAAAATCCTTTTGATAAGGTCACATCACTGTCGCAGGAACAGGCTTGGAACAGGGCCATGCTATATTTGAGCTAACAGAAGATACCCATGACCCTGCTGCTCCAGAGAGGGTTGCAGGAATTGCACTGGGCTTGGGTGTTTGTGGTCTTTTGTTCTTAAGGCAGGAGGGACAACCTCTTGGAAAGGGCATGATGATTAAAACTGGTGTTTAAATTGATAGCTCATCCTATTCTGCAGCTTTTTGCGATACAGGAATTTCTTACTACGTGCTTTCACAATGTTTAGCTCTCTTACAGAGAGACTAATGCAGATACATACCCTTCACTACCACATTAAAGTAGATCTTATTCAGAATGTGCTAAACAGGGATCGGTAGTTAATGACACTCTTACCGTTTACTCTATTTGATTAAATTGTGGTGACTTTTATTTAAATAGTTAATGACACTCTTACCGTTTATTTGATTAAATTGTGGTGACTTTTATTTAAAAAAAAAACCTTTTCAGGACTTCAGGAAATGTATGGGTTAGCATTTCTGTTGCATTATATAGCTTTTCACAAGCAAAACTTCTGTATTCTGCTTTGCAAATAAAGAGTAACCCTATGTGTTTCAAAATACTAAGTTAATTGGTTACGTCCCACTCAAAACAAAGTCTCTGTGGCCTGAACAGCATTTCCTGAGTGACAAGACTAGGAGGGACATCACCAGCAGGTCAAGGGCAGTCATCCTTCCACTCTGCTCAGCACGAGTGAGATGCATCTGCAGTGCTGGGTCCAGTTCTGGACAAGAGAGACAGGGACATACTGGTCCAGCAAAGGGCCACTGCATTGGTCAGGGGCTGGGGCATGTGGTGTAGGGGGAAGAAAAAGAAGGAGAAGACCTTTTTGCTGCTCTCTTCAGTTACCTGATGGGGTTATGGAGAAGGCAGTGCTGGCCATATCAGGTACGCCCAGTGAAAGGGCAAGAGGCACCAAGGGAAACTCCAGGCAAGTGTAAGGAAAATATTCTTGATGGGGGTGATACGGCATGGGAGCAGGAGTCCAGAGGGGCTGTGAAATTGCTGCCCTTGCAGATTTTAGTGAGTTGACTGGACAAGGCTCTGAGCAGCCCGGATTAAAGCTGAAACCCTGCTTTGAGCAGGGGCTGGACCAGTCCCTCCCAGCCATGGCTCTTCTGGGAAACTCTGCACTGGAGCGTTCCCTTTGGGTTTATAGCAAATATGTGTTTTATTCAGGCAACCTGCAATTCAAAAAAACCCACCAGATAAAAGTTCACAGAGGCTTGGGGTTTTTTTTGTCCTCCACTTCATCTGAAATAAGTCTGTGCTGCACTGCTTTCGCTATCATCATGGAACAGTATGTGGGGGAAGTATATGCAGTGTTTGTTTTAAATAACATACCCTGTCTTCCCTCCGCTTCCTCCTCCCACGCATTGTTCAAAACACAGACTAACCTGTTACTCTGCATATTCCTTGTTTTTCTTGGAAGCAACTTCTTCCTAGCTTGTTTTCATTGTAAGGGCTATGCGTGGTATTCGCAGCGCTTTCTTTCCCATGTAGTTGCTCTTTTCCCAGCTAAGTTATTTTGCCTTTTGAATATATGCAGTTTAGGAGGGGCATTAATGCTTAGGGTAGGGCAATAACAAAATAGAAAGTGATTTGCAGACATGAGGCTAGAAACATTTTCCACTTCAGGCTGGGTGTTTAAGGCTTTTGTTCATCTTTAATATTGTATCACTTCTTTTGGCACTAGCCAAAAGCTCATTTTTGTGTCCTTTCCCTTTGGTTATCCCAGTTCAGCATCCGGTCGTAACCCCACAGCTCCTATCTGACAAAAGATTTGCCTTGAAAGAAAAAATACCTTCCCACAACGTGTACTTGGCTTCCAGCCACTTCAGGTATTTTGTAAGTACAGCTTCAAAATGGTAAACTGCTGGTTGGGGCGTCACATCCAGTGTCCCACCTTTGAAAAGGCATCAAAATCCACCTCGGGCCCCTCTGGAAGAGGCTCTGTGGGGACCTTTTTTGGGTGAGGTGTGTGCTTGGCCAGTGTTGGAGCCCATTCGGTTTGGGAGGTTCACCACAGAAAAATATAAGACAGCTCTTTGCGTGCTGGGTTTCTGTACAAGTGCTTTGAAATTTAATTCTCAACTTTTTAATTTCTTTTTTTTTTTTGTCTGAGAATTTCTTTGCAACAGCACTGTTAGACCAACAGTTGAAAACTGAATATGGATTTGGGATGAGTTAAGCTTGGCTTTGAGGTTGTGCAGAGGACTTGCTAATGCTGTTCCCTCACACCGCGAATCCCGGTAGCTGCAGTCCCACCCAGCACTGCCCACCTTACACCTCCCAGAGCCAGACGCCTTCTGCGAGCAGAGGCTTGGCACTATGAGACGTAGAGCTCCTGGGTTTTACCCATCAGTGTGGGCGCGTGAGCAGCTGGGGAACTTTGAGCAATTACATTTTAACTGGATACGAAAAAATGAGTAAACTGGGATGACCTGTAGCTAGGAGGAGGCTTCTACAGAGCTGTTGGTGATTTCCTAGATGTTTTTCAGGGACAACAGGAGCAAAGGATGAGTGATGAGGTGCAAGTTGAAGTTAGAGGTGCTCTGAAAAGTGACTTCAAAATTGGCGTGGTGGCACTGCTTCCCAGTTTGTCTTAGGTTTGCTCAAAACTGCATGAACTGCTGTCATGAGGAACAGCTTGGGACCTGATACTCAATAAGATGTTATTGAATCTTGCCTGCGATGGGAGTGCATTTCTTTTGTGTGCCAGTTTGCGTGAGCAGGTATAATGCCAAGAGAAAGAAGTGGCACAGATTTACTCTCAGTAGCGCAAACTGAAGTGATCCAAAGTAAAAGCAGGAGGACAACCTGCACTGGGGGAAAAGACAATTCAAATTACCCCTTTCTTGTGTGAGCACTTCCTTCAGAACCAATACATTTACAAGTAAATGAGGAGAGCTTTATTTTACAGAGTGGAAATTAAGGAGCTACCCATGCAGATAGGCTAAAATCAAGAACCCTGAATATTTTATTAAAAGTAGATGGTTTTATGAAATTTAAGTCGATAAAATGTAGCTTTTTCCGTGGGGCTGGATGCCCCGTTTGAAGGACAGCAGGGCATTTTCCAGTCCTGCTTACCCTTCCAAAACCATCAGTTCAGGTAGCAGCAATACTCATGACGCGTTTATGGTGCTGCCAGTTTTAACAGCACAGAAAATCAATTAAAAGGTTTCCATTGAGCTAAAGCTTTGTGCTCCGGTGGATGGGGTCAAAAGATAAATTTAGCTTAGAATTAAAGGTTGTTTACAGAACTTTGAATCAAAAATCACACAGCTTTCAAATGCCATGAAGCTGGTGGTCAGATTTGAAGCACAGTGAATTTGCACTGTATTTGAGGAAGAAAATGT